TGGGATGCGGTGCCCTGGCATCGACCGGCACACGCAAACAGGGAGGGAGGGCAGGTGAACGGGGGTCTCATCGTTTCTGGCAAGAGCAGCCGGTGGCTCAGCCTAAGGCCGGGTGGGGGGGGGAGATCAGCTGGGCCCCCGGCGACACGGCAAATCCAGCCAACTGGCAGCGGCCCCCGGTTGCTAAATGGGCACCGTGGACTCCCCTCCCCACGATACAGGCCACGGTAAGAGGGTGCCGGGTCACGAACCCATGGCGGATGGAAGGGGGTCAAACCCAAAGGCATCATCTCCACGGTAACGTTTACACAGATGCGATAATCTGGACCCCTAGGTCCCATGACGAGCCCTGCTGTAGGTGTCCTGAGATAGCCGAAGTCAGCCGTGACAGACCTTCAGGGAAGAAGCCGATTTCACCACACAAACTAAGATTATGATTAAGATGGACCTTGTGAAGTGCAAACAGGCAGACATATAGTGTGAAACCAAGAAAAACAAAGTTTGCAGGCAAACTAAACATAGTGAAAACAAACTTAGAAGGTACACAGCACACAAACAAAATATCCTGAAAGCAGAATATTGAGACACTACAGAAATAGATATTTTAAGATAAGAATCAGGTGTGCAAGATATGAGGAAAATATGTGATGAGCAATAACATTGTTCAACTGTTCAATAGTGCAAAGACGAAATGAGTTGTGATAAACAAATATTGGAGTGTGCAAATCAATAAAATATGTAGCAATATAGTTAAATATACATTATTAATCTAATAAGACATCAGTGAAACAAACAGTTATAATCAATTAAACGTCGCTAGCAAGCTAAATATACATTAAAATCTTAATAAAACATGTCAGTTATACTAGCAAGCTAATTGTAAATGATTTTTTATAATAACACATCTTTCGTACAAAGAAAAACATTCATAAACATATTTTATTGATGTAAATGCTTGTTGCCACAGGGTGAACTTGAAACTTACAGGGTAACTTGAAGGTCACGATTGCATCATCGTGATTGCATCATCTGCCCAATAGCTGATCAACACAGCGCAAGAGGCAAGAATTTGTATGATGGAAAAGATTTCACATGACACCTCCATTTCATATGGCAAATGTTTGCATGAGTGTAAATAAAATATTTTGTTTTCTTATTCATCACGTTTTCGGCAATTCTTTGTAACGTGTTTATCTCACATTTTCATATCGCGCCGACAATGAGAATACAATTTATCGCTCAGCACTGATAACACATTAGAAATGCGATATGTGCAATTAGAGCAGATAGCACCAGACTTTCACTTTAAGACAGATTGGCAGAGATCAGTAACCATTCCCTCATTCTCTGCTTTTATCGCTCTTTAATGTGGAATATCACAGGCTGGCAGGTGAGCGAGGGATACCGCTACAGACGGGGCCCAGGGGAGTCTGGGGAAAAAGGAGGGGATACATAACGAGAAGTGGGCGAAAACTTAGTTTATTAAATGCAAGTTACCGCAGGTCCCTCCTCCTCTCGACCTGCCCAGGGAGGGACCACAGTCTGCACCGGCAAAACCCAGGCAAATAAATTAATTATTTTAAAATTACCTGGCGGTAATTCGCAAGGGGTGCTTTGTTAGCTGTTTTGTAGTGATAATAATGTGAGATTAGAGGGAACGATTAGGATCAGAGGGGGCAAATCTAGGCAGCACCAACGCAGCGGAGGACCAAGTGGAAGAAAGCAGGTAAACTGCATACAGGACAACATGCAACATGCATGCGGTGATGTCATCATAACTAAAGGAGACTCGAGCGTGAGAGCAGATTAACGCCCACGTGAAGGAATGAATAAACACAGAGACACACACGCACACAAACACACGCAAAAACAGGTTTCCTTAGTGATAATTTTTATAAACGGACTCCCCAAAGGTGCAAATTTCTCTGCCAGAACACAGTCCCCCTCCTGTTTTTCTCATGACTGGACACCGAATTTCACTAGTAACTTAACGTCAACACCCGTCAATTCTAGGAATACTTTGCAAAACAAATATATTGAACACACACACACACACACTCACACACAAGTTTGTAATTATATCTTTGTGGGGACTCTTCATTCATTTCTATGGGGAAGACTCTAATTCCGACATGATGACCTTAACCCCTACCCAGCCCTAACCTTAACTATAAGTAACCAAACAAAATACGAGACTTTTGGCTCTTTTTTTTTTTTTTGACTGCATTCACAGATCTTTATGGGGAAAGGAAAAGTGGTTAATCCACACACACACACAGACACACTCGACCTAGACTGAACAGTAATTTCAATGGCTCAGAAACATACAGGGTGCCAGATAGCCAGCAATGACAATGACAATTCACGGCACTTTAATGATAAACATTCATCTTCATACATTCCCAGCTATTAAAGTGAATTTCACTTTGTATAAGTACCTCCTTAAAGGCTCCTATAGACGCCACCTCAACTAAGGTCAGGGGAGCGTGCATTTGTAAACCCCTCATTGCACACTGCCTCCACGGCACCCCCAACGTTCAATTACCGTGTAACATCAGCATCCTCGACCTCTTCAACCCCCCCTCCCCGCTTAGCAGATGAACCCAATTCATTAGCAGCATGCATGACACTTGGTCGCTACAGAGTGGTCAGTTCCCATGTGTTCCATATACAGTGCATGTCACACACAGAGGGGGCAAGCAGACAGGTCACTAAAGGTACCCTGTCGGAGCAGGGATCAGCCAGCAGTCCCAGCTACTTCCCAGTACAAGCCTCACTGCTGCCCCCCCATTCAAACCAGGAAGGGACAGACAGCTCACATTAAGCCTGCCCATCTCATTTCTCCCAGTACACCAGGTCCCAGCCGTACGGTGGGAGCGGCGGGGCCGTACGGCGGGAGCGGCGGGCCGTACGGTGGGAGGCGCCCGCTAGGGCGGTCAGCGCCATCAATCTGCATAATAGTTTCTAAGGCTGGGCTGAGTGTTCTCCAATTTCCATTCACCCCCGACGCTCACGGCAATGGGTGGAATAGCAAGACTGGGGCTAGGGGCGGGGGGGCATCAGCAGACTCATGTGATTAATTTCATTAGCTGCCTGTTATTCCGGTTAATTAACAACAAGGGGCGACCACTCTCTGTTTGTAAGGCCTGTAACTTATGAGACAATCCCCAAAGTACACAAGTACTAGTGCACAAAATATACACAGGCAGCTCAAGTTACAGACTTAAGCAAAAAATATCCAACATACATTGAGTTCACAGACGCACTATTGCAAAAAAGGCGACATTCATCTGCAAGTAAATTTACACTTTATCCTTTCATTTATTTGTGTTCTTTAGTACGTATTAATAATACACTTTTGGCTTATGCGTTTTTTGCTATAAGGTGTCTTAAATGGTTTGGGAAGCTAAATCAGACATTCGTACCAATCTGACTTACATAAAGGTTTATGGGAGGTATTACTTGTGTCAGTCGAGAACTGTCTGAATACAGATACAGACCCGATACAAATGTATGTTGATATTTACGTTACCCAACACCAGGCACAGCACCCCATTCTTATGCATCTCTCCCCGCCTTCGCACGTCAAAGGCGTCCCATCTTTGCAATAGTACAAATTTGTTTTTATCTTAATCTTAAAAGTCCAAAACCCAGGGAGCTACTAAAATGAAAACGCTGGCGATGGCCGACTTCGACGATTAGCCACAAATGCAGCTTTCACACCTATTCTTCACAGACGAAAGTGGGTACAAACACCTGCTGTGCTTCAAGTCGCTCCACCGTGATGAGAGTGAACGGGGGAGGCCGCCGCCGACTGTCCCGGAATGACCCCCACCCCCATCACAGAAACGCAGGCGGGACAGCGCGCCCTGGGCTAATGTCACAGGGGACGCAGTGAGGTTTGGGTGCGGAAAGGGCCACTTTTACACGTCAGACGATCGCAGGTCTCATGGGAGGCACTGGCACCGAGAAGGATCTTCTAAAGAGCTATCAGTTACGTTTCTAAAAGGTGCTGCGTCACCCCGCCCCAACTGCAGGCTGTTATTGTGTGTTTAAATGAAATGTTTCGCTCGTGTTAAAAACTAGAAGGACAGAGTCACCGCTGGTGGGTAATGGCTAATGGCTAACCGCTAATGGATAATGGCTAACAGCTAATGGCTAACAGCTAATGGCTTGGTGGTTACGGAAACAGCCTTCAGGTGGCCTCTGTCTGCCCAGACCATGGCGGGGTCAGCGGGCGGGAAATTCCCAGAGAAATGAAGCAGCCTGTAACCTCATGGACCCTGTGACCCCGCTGAACCAGGCTCACCTCCCCCAGGCATGGTGGGGGGGGGGGGGGGGTCTCTTACCTTGTGATTGTAGGGGTTGTAGGACTGGAACAGCTGGGACAGCTCTTTCGTCCTTTGTTTTTTCTGTTGAAACAGACCAAAACAAAATAAAAAATAATGAGCATATCTTTGAATGCTAAAGATTATTAGCTCACATCAACAAGCTGGGCTTTGCCTGTGAAGACCTTGGGGGTGTTACATGAAGCAGGATTCCTCAGCTGGGTTAACTTAAGCTAGAAGGCATGAGTGGCCAATAAGAGTTTAGGTAAGGAGCATTCCTATTGGACAATCGTGACTTTTAGCCTAGGTTAACCCAGCATACAGAGAAATCCTGCTTTGTGGAATACCACCCTCCCATGGAATACCACCATCCCATGGAATACCACCATCCCATGGAATACCACCCTGCCATGGAACACCACCCTCCCATGGAACACCACCCTCCCATGGAACACCACCCTCCCATGGAATACCACCCTCCCATGGAATACCACCCTCCCATGGAATACCACCCTCCCATGGAATACCCCCCTCCCATGGAATACCCCCCTCCCTCTGTAGACACCACCTCAGCTGGCTGGCTGGCACTTACCTCCACACCTCCTCAAAAGGAGGTGACATGTAGACCATTAATGCCGCCCCCCCAGTAGAGAGTGAAGGGAATCTGTCATGGGCATGAGGGGTCACTCACTGCAGGACTGATATAGATGCACTGGGGGGAGGGGCAACCACTGGTCAAAGACTGGAGGAGAAGACCTGATGCCTGACCTAAAACATTCCCAGTCCTCATCCGGCACTGGTTTGGGGAATCGAGAGACACATCCGTGTAGCTAACGACCCCCCACCATGCACCCCAGTGACCGCAGTCCTCTCTCAACCATCAAACCAGCCCCTCCCCCAACCAATAACCCCCCCAGCAGGGATGCGAAGGAGGGCTGGACGGATCACCCGGGGTTATGATTTCTGAACGGTGCCGATGAGGTCCCAGCAGGTTTCGCTCGATAGCACGCCGTGCTGGTGAGGGGGCGGGACTTTGGAGAGCTGAGCCGTCTTTATCCAATTCTGTCAATTGAGAGCCCCTCTATTCCA